AGCTCCCCAGAGGCCATCCTCAGCCCCACCATCATAGTCACTACACCCCAGGTGACAGCCATCCAGCTTCCATCAGAGTAGAGTCACATTGCCTGTTCTTGAACTTCTAGTAAATGGAGTTGCACAGTGTGTTCCTCATGCCCAGCTCTCTCACTCAACATCAGTGCTGAGGTCCACCCAGGCTGCTGTGTACAGCTCATTTTTTCAGGGACAGCTTTGCTTGGGTTTGGAAGGCAGAGACTTCTGGGTTTGCTGTTGGGTGGGAGTGAGTGGGGCTGAGAGAGAGGAGTCCAGCAGGATCTTCCATCCCCTACATCCAATCCCAGCATATCCCAGAGAACTGACATCCTGTTTCTGAGCAAGGTCAAGTTCCCGACCAGTGAGGAAGTGTAAGGCAGAGATTTACCCCCAAAGTCCCCTACCCTTGCCCCTACACACAGAGTAGGATATAGGGTACTGAAGAGAAAACTGAGTCACAGTGGAGAGTGGCTCATCAGAATTGAAACCCATGCCCTGTAACCCAAACAGGGCCTGGATGGTGGGGGCCCCTGGAAAGGATGAGCGGGCAGGGATGTAAGAAGGCAGTGTAGGTGGGCTTGAGGGCTTGGTCTGCACACAGCCCTGGTTCAAATTGCCATCCTGCCACCTGCCAGTTGGGTGGCTTTGGGCAGGTCATTTTGCCTGCACCTCAGTTTCCCTATGTGAAAATGGGGTCTGTAGAGTCCTGGTGAGGACTCAATGGGTCATCCTCTCACCATATGGGCCCTGCACTGTGTATGCATATTTTATGTAATTGTAGAGGGTAGTGCCTGTAACATCTCCATTGTCCAGAGGGAGTCAACTGAGGCCCAGAGAGCAAGACAGCCAGCCGTGAGCATGGGAGGCACTTTTGCAGCTGGTGTCAGCCCATGGTTGTTGGTACCAATTGAACACCAATAGGAATCCCCAATTTGGGGTGCAGTGAAGGAAATCTCATTCAGTGGAAACAGACAGCTCAGTAGTGAAACAGCACCTGGGTGAAGTAGCCCCTGGGCAAGGTCCCTCCCCAGATAGTTCTGCACCAGTAACATGACCAAGAAACACAGACCTTAACCTTATAGGTAGAAGGGGGAAATGTGCTCCTGAAGCCAAAGAGCTGGCTTTATATAGAGAGAAGGCCCACCCCTGGTCCCTGATGGTGTAAATGAAGACCAAATCATCACAGTTTGATTGATCCAAAAGGCAGTGTCCTGATTGGTCAGAATGGAGCCACTCTGATTGGTTGGTGAAGATATCGCTGTAGACTCCGCAGACCGGTAAAGCCTCAGTCTTATTGGTTGAAATAGAATTCCAGGAACCCCTTTATATGGGCTGGATGGAGGGTCACGGTGCAGGCAGGTGGGTCAGTGCCAGCTTCTCCCTGAGGTCCAGATTGTGTGAGAGGCTCTGCTTTTAAATTTGAACCCAGTGAGCCACCAAGCCCTTCTTGGTAGCTTTCTTCTTTCTCAGGGTCAGCAGTGCACACCTGCTGCATACTTCCAACCTCCACCAGGTGAGGGGGTGTGGAAGGAGATGGTCAGCTTCCCTGGGGAGGACACGCACTCGCGCAAAAGCAGGCCTGCTCCCTCCCGAGACGTTCCATTTTATTCAAGTCATTTTTCTCCTCCTGTCAGCAGGGAAGTAGGAGGGTGGGGGGCAGCTCCTCCCTCCCCCATGCAAAGAAGCTGAGAAGAAAACAAAAGCCTAATTGAATCCCACACTGGGGGAAGGGGGTGCAGCAGGGAAAGGCCCCAGCACAGGAAGGCCAAGGAAGGCCTCCCCGGGTCTTATGGTAGCCTACAATTATTACCCTAATGTGATTATATTTATTATCGCCACTGTACTGGCCTGATTCCAGCAAACATGCCTGTGTATAAGCTCTTGCCCAAACACATAAGCCTGGGCCTCATCTGGGCTGAAGCATCGCTGGTGGGGACCCTGAGATCCCGATAAGCCACGGGACTTGCCTGGGGCCACACCGCTGAGTAGGTCACTCCCCAGGTCGAAGTTCAGATTTGCAGGCTTCCAGATGTGCCTGGGAGGCCAGCATAGTAAGAGCAAAGGCGCAGGGAAGAGGGCGTGCATGGGCTGCGGTGCACGGCACTTGCAGGCTGTGGTGTGGCAGGTGAAGGAAGTGGACTGATTGATCAGGCAGTGAGGCCAGGCTGCGATGGAATGGGAGCCCACAGTGGGCTGCATTGCAGCCCTTCCCTTCCTTCGGAATGTGCCGGTTGCCCCATACTGCGTCGTTTCAGGTCCTTCTCCTTCTGCAAAGCTCTCCCTGACTAATGCCCTGATGGAGGCTCCATCCTTTCATCCAGGGCCACACTCCTCAGGCTTCCTGTCAGACTGGGGCACACCCAGCTCCACGCTCTTCCTCCTCCCTCATACTGGAGACTCACTGTATCAATGTTCCTTGGCTGCAAGCGAAGAAAAAAAAAGTCAAACTGACTTAAGCAAGGAAGGGATTTTATTGGCCCTCTGAACTGAAATGTGCAATTGTAGACTTCAGGCACACCTGGATCCAGGTGTCCATGAGGTCTCCAGGCATCTGACTCATCATCCTTAGCTCCGCTGTGCACTGTGCTGGCTCCACTCTGAGAAGGGGGCACCGTTTTGTGCCTTTTGTGATTTGCACCATGTCAGGTTGCTAGTGGTTGCCCTGGATGCCCACAGTTCTTCTGAAAGTAAGAAGACTCAGGATAGCAGCCTGGCTGGGAGAAAAGAGTGCCAGTACCACCTTCATTTGCACCATCGACTGAGAACTGGGATGCCGCAGGTGCAAACATTCTGATTGGATCTATGTCACAAGGCAGTGTATGGCCATGACAAAGAATATAAAAGGGGTCTAACCTCATTGGAGTGGGAGCTGCTCTGAGGAAGAGGCCAAGTGAGAGGACATAGGCTGGTTCCCCGTGAGGAACCAGTATGGAGAGAGGCAAGAAGGGGTCTTCATGAGCTGCTGGTCTCCATATGTCCTTTTGGGAACTCTGAGACACAGGGCAGCCACAGCATGCATGCGCGCGCGCGTGCGCGCGCACACACACACACACAAGCACACTCACATGGTTCCATACTGCACACAGCACACATAAACATGCAAGCACACATGCTTGCTGACATGCATGGCTACACTCGTGTTCATACATTCACTCACATGGTTACACACCAAGACACCTGTGCACAAATACGACTGCACTCCTGCATGCATGTCACTACACGAACACGCACACGTGTGCATAAGGACACACACGTGGTTACGCATGTGCAAAGGCACATGGTTGTGTGCAATCACACACCTGCATACACACAGGCTACCCAGTGATGAGTGGCTGGTGGGGAAGAGGTGAGAAGGTGCTTGGTTGCCCTGGCAACACATCCTGGAACCCAACTAGGCCTTGTTAGCAAGGCTCAGTTGGCGGCTGTCAGCAGGTGGAGGGCTGCTGAGGACCCCAACCCTGCACAAAGGCTACTGGTGGCTTCCAGACAGCTCTGGCAGTCTTCACCCCAGTGGGAATAAGAGAGGAAGGAGCAGGCCTGCAGTCAGAGCAGGAGACAATGCCCTGGACTGGGGAATCTGTGGGGAGAGACATGCCCTGCCCTGGAGTGTGTGCAGGGGACACAAGGGTGGGGATTGGCCTCCTGACCAAAACATTTGCTATCTGATTCCTGTCTGATAGCAGGGGCTGGGGCAGACCAGACAAGAATGAGAGGCAGGTCAGTGAGGGCACTCCCATTTTGGCATCTGATGGCATCTGAGGGGGTCCCCATCGGTGATGGCACCATATGTCCAGACTTTGTCCCCAGTGGACAGAGCCCAGAAGGCGCAGACCCTACCTCTGTCTCCAAGTCCTGGCTCCTGGCTCCCATTGGCTAGGCTTTCTTGGGCAGGTGAGGATGTGGGTGGCCCCCTCAGGGGCCATCATGTAGACACCTGCTGAGTGAATGTCAGCTGTTGTTACAGCAGGGCCGGGGGACCCATTCTCCCTGGAATCCCAGGCAGAATTCCTCTCTTATTATTAAACAGCCAAGAAGGCAGATCTCCACCCCCGCATTCCCGAAACACCTTTATTGCACTAAAAACAGCATTTATAAACAAACACATTTGGGGAGGGTGTCTTAAAGGTTTACCCAGAGTGGACTTGGAAGAGAGATATGAAACAGTGCAGGGGCATATTAAGTACAGGAGAGGTCAGGATCAAAGAAGGGGAGGGGTGTGTGCTTCAAGCAGGGCCCTCTGTCTGCCTCCTCAGCCCACAAGCCTGGCCTTGGTGGTCCCCAGGTTCCAGAATGAAGGGGGAGCCCCTTACAAAGCCAAGAACAGGAGCATGAAGGAGCAGGCACAGGACAGAGGCTGGTAGGACCCCAGCTCCCAGGGCTCCTCCATCTTAGTCTCCAGGGTGCACTGGTGCTTTCCCCAGCCCTGGAGGAAATCTGCCCCTTCCCCCCTCCCCCAGTGAGATTTGAAAACCTAGAGTCAGGAGGGACAATGTGTGAACAGGGAGGGGCACCCCAGGGTCCCCATGAACTGCCCTAGTCCATCCATGCCCAGTGGGCAGCCCAGGTGAGGCAAAGGGGTAGAGCTGGCCTGGCCTCGTTAGCCCCTGCTTCAGACCGTATCATTTCTGTTTCATAGAGCTGGAAAACCTCCACAGAAATCATTCAAGGACCCACGTGCTGATACAGTAAGCAAACCCATGCAGACACCTAGCAGCATGAAAAGCCATAACGAGGGTCCTCCCAGCCTGCTTTTTGTCCCTTTGCCCCACCCACCCTAACCAAAACCTATTTACACACATGGAATAAAAGCCACAGCAATCAGTCACTAGGCATCACTCCCTGGCATCCAACAGTCAAGGCCGCTGGGGGAATGGAGGTGGGGGGGTGCGGCAGCCTATGTGGGGAGGGCCAGGCCATGGGCTGGGGGCTGCTCTCTGGGTGCCTTCTGAGCAACTCCCTCCAGGGTTGGGAGGCTCCAGATGCCCCAGCAGGGCCTAGGGGTCCTGAGCAGGTGCAGCAGACAGGACAGGCAGGTCTGTGCCCAAAAAGCAAACAGAGAACGCATTGGAGGAAAACATCCACAGGGGTTGGGGCAGGGGGCTGTCTGGCTCCAGAAACAGGAGAGGGGCCTTTACTCCCATTTTCATCTTCTGGGACTTCCTGCGTCTGAGCTCTGAGGCACACAGGTGCCTCCTACAGCTCCATGGGAGCACTGTTGGTAGAACCTAGGCCTGGCACTGCTTTCTTGGGGGTGTCTGGTGGGCCTGGGGATGGAGGACACTCGTGCAACACAGGAAAAGATTTGGCACAGCCTCAGGACTGCACAACTCTAGGACTGTGATCCACCTTGGCCACCTCCTGGCACAGGTTCCCAGCTCCCTGAGAATGCCTTTCCAGAACTCTGAAGTCCACGGGCGTGAAACCTGAGGCCCAGGGGGGGTGTTCAGCCCTGCAAATGGCCCTTTCTCTTACCTGGCAGCCTCCTCTCTTTGTCCTCTGAAAAACTTAATCCATGAAAAATTGTATCCTGGGCACCATCATCAACCCAAGAAAGCCCAGGAGCCCACTGCAGCATCAGGCCCAGCCCAGCCTGAGTTTAAACCCACCTTCTCCTTCGGCCCAGGTCAACTGGCCTCCTGCCTGGCAGAGTCTGGGTGGGGAGGGAGGCAGGGTCTACCCTGGCCACCCATGGGAGGGATGAAGGGAGGGGCAGCGAGGGGCCTTTACAAGAAGGGAAGCAGGGAGGGCAAGGGCAGCTCCTTCTCCCCCAGCAGCGTGTCGCGCTTGAGGCTGCTGCCTTTGTTGACCACCTTGATCCTGAGGGCCAGCTTCCGGATGCTGGCCGGCCCCACACCGTCGAAAAAGAAGTCCTCGTTGAAGACCGGGTGGCGGCTGTTCTTAATGATGGTGCTGCGCTGTTTCTGCAACTTTCCGGGGACCAAGCACAGGCCGACGCAGCAGTTGATGCTGCGGGCATCGCACAGGTGGTCGTACAGGCCCTCTGCGGCCAGCAGGCGCACGCGCAGGCGCGCCTGGGCCACCTCGTATTCAGCCAGCAGCCGCACGCTGCCTCGCACGCCCATGTGCACAGTGTGCTCTGCGCGGGGCGCCTGGCCCGGCTCAGAGCCTGGCTCCGGAGTAGCCCTGCGTGTCAGGCGGCGCCGGGCCCCGGGGCTGGTGTCCAGGGTGCTGTCGTCGGCCGACAGGGAGCCGTGGCAGCCCACCGAATGCTTGAGCTGGCTCACCTTGGCCTGGCTGTCCTGGGCGAAGCCTTTGAGCAGCGACACCGAGCGCGAGAGCAGAGGGGACCCGAATGGGGAGGACTCAGCCGAGGACCCCGTGTCACTCTCCCCACCGCTGAAGTAGCGGCTGGGGCTCATGAGGGCCCCGGCGGCCTCCCGGGGCACAGCATCGCCCCCGTTGGCTTTGGCGCCCCCCCGACGGCGCACAGCACCCGGGGAGCCCACCTGGGCCAGGGCTCCATGCTCGCTGTGGAACAGGGATTCCTTGCGTCGCGTGTGGGGGCTCTCAGCCAACGTAGTGAAGCCGTAGGATGTCTGGGCCTTGGGCACCGAGGGCAAGGACATGGCACTCTGGGCCTGGGGATCGACACTGGTGACTGCCTCCTCAGCAGGCCAGTCCTCAGCGCTCTCGATCTGGATCACGTGCCGGGTGGCCGCCTTCAGCAGGCTCTTGCTCTCAGATGCCAGTTTGGTGGGCAGCCGGGGACTCCGGGGGACTCGGCGGGGCACAGCAGAGGCCAGGTTCTGTTCCAACGGAGGCAGGCCCGGCTCGGCCTGCCCCTCAGGCTCTGCGGGGCTGGCAGGCAACTTGGGGGGAATGAAGAAGTCGGGGATCTTGTCGGGCGTGAGCACGTTGCTGTACAGAGGCCCCTTGGAGGCCTTGTCCCCCGCCTCGCCCCCTGCAGCACCATTCTCTCCAGACCCCCGAAGCCGCTCCAGGAACCACATGTTGGTTTTCTTCATAGTGGTGGCAGGCAGGAGACCAGGAGGGGTCTGCAGAGTCTGGGAAGAGGGAAGAGACGCAGGGGTCAGGAGCTGCAGGCATCCTGCACTGGGGTCTGGAAGAGGGGCTCTTGTCTCGGGGGAGGGCGCCTGGACAGGGCCCAGGGCAGGGGTGAGGGGCACTCCCCCTGCCTTCCTCCACCCAGAGGGACGTGCTTAACTTCCAAGCGAAGCGGAAGCCGAAGCCGGGAGGTGGGGGGGCGGGGGTGGAGGGGGGCGCTCCGACTCTAGGGAATCTCCAAGGGACAGCGGCCCCTCTCCCGACTCCACCCCCGCTTTGAGGAGTTCAAAGAGCTTTCTAAAGGTTTCCGCGCTTCAGGCCACGGGAAGACACCACAGGGTATGGGTGGACCCCCCGGTGTCCCAGCTCCGCCCTCCGTCAGGCTCCCACCCACCTGTGGCTTCTCCCTGGCCTCAACGGGTCGGGGCAAGCAGGTGGGGGAGAGAGAGAAGGGTAGTCTGCGGACCGACTGGGCAGCCGGCTGACCCCGCCTCTCTCCTCCCCCTCTGCTCCCCTCCCCCCGCCGCCGCCGCCCCCCCAGCCCCGCCGGGCTCAGCTTGGGATGGGGGTGGGGTCCTAGGAGCCCCCACGGAACATGGCGTGGTCCCAAAACTCACCTGCCCGGGAATGATGGCCCGAGGCTGAGGCTGTCCGGCGGACTCGCTGGGGTCTCCGCGCGAAGGCTCTGGGCCTGGCGCAGGGGACGCGGCCACAGCTTCCACACGGGCGGCGGCGGCAGCGCAGTCGGACTCATTCACCGGCGGCGGCGGGAAACCGCCCAGCCGGGCCGCCGCGCCGCCGTATTCCTCCTAGTACGGCCGCCGCTCCAGCCCCCACCCTGGGGTAGGTCGCACCCAGGAGCCTCGCAGGGACCCAGGGGGCTGATGGGTGTAGGTGGGAGGGAAGCAGGTGATCGCATTTTGTTGCTGACCGTCCCTAGCACTCGCCCCTGCGAATCCCGGGAGATGGGGTCATAAACCCCAAGCCCTGCCTCTCAGCTCACCTGGGGGGGGGGGTGCAGGCCCCCACCTGCTGCGGGGCCTTTCTCTGGTGAGCAGCTTTTCCGAGCATCATCTCTGATGACGAGTAAAATAATAGCAATAATAATAACCTCAGGTGAATTTACTATTGAGCTCCTTCTTGGTACCAGACTTTAACGTCCTTCCCCCAACGCTGATTCTTACAACGGGCTGGTAGGTCCTACAGTTGCTCCATTTGTAGATGAGGAAGATGAGGGTTTCCTTCTAGAAATAAGGGCCCAGAAGCTAAGCCCCAATCCTGGTTAGTGGGCATCGCTCAGTGCAGCCATCCCAGAAGCCCGCGAGGGGGCTGCTGCTTCGTTTCATGGACAGACATTTGTTGAACACCTACTGGATGCTGGACAGTGATCCGGACGCTGGGGACGCAGCCCTGATGGATGCACCCACTTTGTGAGGCATCCCAGAGATACACAGGTGAATAAAAATTGTGACAGGAATATGTGATTAGAGGAGAGGGGAGAGCACCAGCGTGCTGTCCACAGATAAACGAGGCAACCCCAGGCCTGGCAGCTCCTAGGACTGCAGAGTCCCTCTGGGGTCCCACACCCTTCTGCCTTGTGATCTGCCAACCCCAAATCCCTTGTTTCCTCACTGCTTGCCCTCCTTCCCAGCCTGTTTTCCCAACCAGTTCTGAGTCCAGTCTCAGTTTGTGAGGAGCCAGCAAGATAATGTGGGGAGCTGGAGGCTCCGCCCATCCATCACCTCCACTCACCGTGGAGGGAGGTGGGGTTTAGAGTCCCACCGTCCAGATGGGGAAAGCAAGGCTCAGAGGGGCCTCCAAGACTCCAAGAGGCCTGTCTTAGCTTTGTTCACCCAACAAACACTGAGCCCCTGTTTATGCTAGAGCAACACTGACATGACCACACAGTCTGACAGGGGACTGATACCAAAGACTGCGTCACCTCACTACCACCTCCATGAAGCCTGCCCTGCCTGCCAGCCTGGCTAGGTGCTTCACAGCCTGACAGAGCCCACTACCATGAAGAATGCCCTGGAGCAATGATGGGTGATGTCATTGGCCCTGCTGGGCCTGGAGCTGCCTGGAGGAAGGATTGTTGCATGGGCTTAGCCTTGCAGTGTCCCTAGGATGCTGGAATCATTAATGAGAACCAGCCAGACAAATGGATGGGTAAGTGCCACCAAAGGAAGGATGCCTCCCGGAACAGCACTCTTTCATGCAGCAGGGGTCTCTGAGGGCCTTAGCCACCTTTCTCCACTGTAGGGACAGTGACCATGGGGCCCAGGAAGGAGCAATGCTTGGATGGCCTGGGTACTGAGGGCTTCACTCCTCACTCACCCTTGCCCAGCTGGGCTGGGGGAGGAGGCGGTGGGTTTATTCTGTGATAAGCAACTCTAATGAGGGAGCCACTCAGGGTTTGAGTGCTGGTGCCAATACTTCCTGCTGTGTGACTTCTGGCAAGTGTCCAAATCTCTGTGTCTCCATTCTCTTCAATGATCCCTGGGCATCACAGCATCAGGGTGACTGTTTGCCCAAAATGTGCTCGTCTTTGTTTTACGGAAACTGCTGCTGGTGAGGAAAGGGACTCATCCAGGGGAGGCAATGCCAGGTCTTGAGGTGAACCCCAGAACTCAGACCCCACCATAGCCTGGCTCAGCCAGAAGCCCCACCCTTCTACCCCACCCCATCACATTTGGGGGCTGGGGAAACTGAGGCTCTGAGGTGAAAGGTGCCTGGGGATGGGTCCCAAGCACCTGCTCTGTGGCCCGGGGCAGCCCCCCTCCCCAGAAGGGGCAGGGAGACTGGCTCAGGCTCTGTGATCCATAAACGGGACCCTCTTCTTGTCAACAAAACCTGCATCCTCTGCAGAGCCCTGTGGCTGACAGGTGTGGCAGCCCCCACAGAACTTACCCAAACCTCGAGCTATAATCTTCCTGGAACCAGAGATGGGGAGGCTGCCAGCTGGAGGCCTTCAGGCCCAAGCTGGAGAGGGAGCCTGACAGTATCCACCAGCCCCTCCTGCCCTAAGTTGTGCCAACTTGTGCTGACCGGGATGGTCCTCACCCACCCCCCAGGGGCCTGCTGTATGGGGAGTGGAAAGTGGCAGGTCTCAGGGAGGGGGAAGGAGAGTGGTGCTTCTCAGGAGCCAGGCCTGTCATAGCTGCCCCCTGCAGCATCCAGCAGCTGGGCTTGGAGGACCCACAGGGAAGTGCCTCAAAGACAAAAAGACTGGGAGCCAGAGCTCCAAGCCTGAGGAGCCACTTTGTGCCCATGCACCTCTGGGCTGAGCAGTCTCCTCCCCTGGGAAATGGGAAAGAAGGCCGCCTGTCTGCACACTCTCAGGAGGGACCCAGGCCCAACAAGGCACAGGCTAACCCACGGTGGGGGGGTGGGCATCATCCCTGGTTTCCAGATAAGGAAACTGAGGCACAGGGGATAGCGCAATTCTGGCGGGAGCCCAGTTCAGGGAAAGGAAGCAGCTGGTCCAAGGCTGCACAGCCAAAATTGAAGCCACGTCTCTACTGCTTCCCACCCCAGGGCCCTCCAAGGGTGAGGCTGGGGCACGGAGCATTTGCTAAAGAATTGATGGCAGAATGGGACAGGACACAAGGTGGGGGACCCAGCTATCACCGTGGGGGCGCCCAAGACCTGAAAGCAGATGGGGGAGGTGATGGGGTTCGAACCGAGGCTCTGCCGCCTCCCACTGGTGAGGGCTTGGGCAGCCATCTCACCTCTCTGAGCCTCCATATCATCTGTAAAAGTGGGGGAAATCTGAGCATCCTGAGTTTGTGAAGTTCTTAGCACAAGCCTGGCAGGAGTGCTAGATGGAGACTTTGAAGGGAGGGTGCCAGGCCTTGGAGAACAGAGAGCAGTGAATGAATGATTGAATGAATGAGTAACATTTAGACCCCTGTCCTACAAATCTCTGGAATCTGACACTTCTTGACAATCTCTGGTCCAGCCCCCAGTACACTCTCTCAGCCGCCCCCATTCTTACCCTATCCTTAGTGTATACTTCCAACTAGGGAGTCTTATTACCTCTGTGCTTAAAAGATCCACACCAGCTCTCCCTGGCACTGAGCTTTGCCTCCACTCCACCACCCCCCGATTTCATCTTCAGCCACTGGCCATCCTTCCGCCCCCGAATGTACTGTGCTCCACACATCACAGGGCCTTTGCATGTGACGTCCCTTCTCACCCACAACTCTGTCCTATTCATCCTCCAGATCAGAGATCTCTAGGCCCCAGGACACTCTCATTTTCACAGTTGTCATTAGACACTTCATGGGGATTTGCTGATTCACGTCATTTGATGATTAACTCCATGAGGACAGGTCTTTCTAGGTCCTGTTGCATCCCCTTACCCACCAGCGGTCCTGGCAGATAAAAGCTCAAGGCAGTCAATTAAAGGATATCAGGATGGGGAGGTGTGAATGGATGGACCAATGAATGAATGAATGACGGATGGCTGGATGGACGGTCGGATGGGTAGGTAAATGACAGATGGGCAGATGGATGGACTGGTGGCTCTCAGTCTCCATGTCTCTGAAGTAAGAAACATAGCATCAGGGTCCCCTTCTGGCTCTGCCTTTGGATGGCTTCATCCCTAGTTATGGGAAGGGCAGAGTGACTTTTACTCCCATACCCATGTTAGGCCCCCCAGGCATGGCAAAAGGCCTGCCAACTGGGAACAAAGCACAACCCCTCCCCAGAGACCTGGACCCTAGCAGGATTTGGGGAGGGCTGGGGACCACTTTGGAGAGAGGCCTTCACATTTGTGGAAGGAGTTGAAGGAGGGTCCTGGGGAGAATGGAGGTCTCTCTGGGAGGGCGAGTCCCAGAATTCATGTGCGGGAAGGTCTTGAGGACTGAAGTCAGGGTGCTAGAGTAGGAAGCTGGGCACCAGGGAGAAGCATGGGTGAGGGTAAAGGAGGCATGTCAAGAAAATGGGGAGGGCCGGCCGAGTGGCGCGTTGGTTAAGAGCTGGCTTGGGATGCCAGCTCTGAGCAGCAGGGCCCCGGTTCGGATCCCACATGGGGGCCAGTGACACCGCCCTCTACAGCTAAGATGGTGAACAACAGCTCAACCTGGAGCTGGGCTGCCATGAGTTGCTGGCGACGGCGTAGGCTGCAGTGGGTTGCCATGGGCTACCGTGTGTAGCCAGCAGCCAGCGTGAGCAGCCGGCAGCCGATGTAAGCTGCCAAGAGCTGCCGTGAGCGGCCGTCCAGAGGCCGGCGACCGAGCTGCCTCACCCGGGAAGAGCGCAATGATAAACCAACATGGGCCAGTGAAGCAACATCCTCCACAACTAGACTGAAGAACAAAACAAAAGCAACTTGTCTATTCCCCTTCCCCTGATTCCCCATCGCTGTTCCCCTCCCCCAATTCCCCAATAAAATATTTTTTTAAAAAAGAAAGAAAATGGGGAGAAGAGTCGGGACCCCTGGGAAGTGTGAGGCCAGAATTACAGACAAGTTAGGAGCAATTTGGAGATGACAAGGAGCTTTTTGAAGATATGTAGGGAATATCTCAAGAGAGATTTGTAGCATTTGGGAGATAAACTAGGGTGTTTTCCAGACAGGGACTGGGTATGTTTAATAGGGGAGTTGGGGTGTACTTTATCTTGGGATAAAAACAAAGGTTTATGGGAGATGTTCGGGGATTCTGGGAGAGAGCGGACTGTCCCTCACACCCTCTCCGCAGGAGGGGCACACCCACCAGTGACTTTCTCCTCTCCATCTCCAGGCCATGGGCCCCCCCACCTCCTCCAGCCCCAGGGAGACCAAATCTGATGTTGTCTGGCTTTTCACCTGGCCGGCTGACCCCAGCCCCCCAACCTGAGAGTGCCCCTTAGTGTGCAGCCATTCCCAGGTTTAATTACAAACATATTCCAAATGTCCAGTCCAGGTCGATGCCCGAAGGCTTGCCCCCCAACACTGACTCAGCACATGTCCATGTCTGAAGACCCAAAGCACCTCTGTTCTCCCTCCAAAAGACAACTGTGTACCAATTTTTCAGGTGGAAACAATGAGGCCAGCCAAGACAGGACTCCATCTCCATTTCAGGGGCTTGGGAGCCCTCCCGAGCTGAGGTCCAGCCCGAAAAAGAGCCAGTGCCTCCATCTCACAGGGACCTTAGCCAGGGCTCTGAGGGAGAAGGCTGCTTTCTGATATCTTTTCATTAAAGGCAAGAAACGGTTCTGTCTTTGGTACGTACACCTTCACTCCAGGTGAAGGGTGGAGGCAGGAGGGGCGTTGGCACAAGGAATGGGTCTTGGGCTCCTGTCTCCTGGCCAGGGTTACCCAGCCCAACCCAAGGCCTGCTGGAGAAGGGAGATTCGAGGCCCATGTGGAGGAAGGAGAGACAGCGGCGGTTCCGGCCTGACCAGGGTCCAGAGAAAAGGCTGAGCCACCACTAAAGGCCACCACACCAGGGGTGTCTGGGGAGCAGGGACAGGAGCCAGGGCTAGAGCCATCACCTGGGGGAGAAAGTGAAGGAGAGGTCAAGGGTCAGCTGAGACAGCAACCAGAGACCTGGGTTCAAACCTCAGTTACACAGCAGTAAAGTGACCCAGCGAGGGGCCTCAGGCCCAGGAGCCCAGGTTCAAGTCCCAGCTCCCTCATGTTCTTCCTGTGTGACCTAGGGTAATGTCTTAACTTCTCTGTGCTCTTTCTTCTGCAAAATGAGAATGATAATAACAGCGCCTGTCTCAGAACCTCGTGGGAGTTAGTGAAATGCAAGGTGCAGAGAGGGGCTGAGCACAGTTCCTGAACACAGCAGTGGCTGCATTAGCAACTATTATAGCTGCCATCAGCGTTCTTTCTTGGGTCACAAACAACTCTGGGGACAAAAGGCAAGCAGGTCCTACCCTGGCACATGCAAACATACAGCCCCAGAGAGCTGCAGGTCATCCAGGTGTGCCATAGGACCACCCCCAACCCTTGAATCCCTTTTCCAGACTGGGAACCCCATCTCTTGCCAGCAGCCAGGCCTGTCTGGGGGCAGGGAGGAGGCCCTCGCTGAGTGAGGGAGAAGGCAGAAAGGAGACCATTGTCATGGCGACAGGAAAGCAGCCTAACCTGGCCCAGAAGCTCCTCTCACACAGCCTTTGAGAAAATTGCACAGCCCCTTTTCCCTGCGGTCCCTCCCTCCCTCCCTCTCCCTCCCCTCCCCAGCCCCCAGTTCCAGTTGTCCCCAGGTCCTCTCTTCCTTCTCCACAAAGGCTGCTCATGATACTCCACCCCTCTGCACCCCAGCTCAGCCATGTCCTCTTCTGCCGGGACCACACCTCCACCCTGTTTCATCACAGAGCCCCTGCTCTCTCACCAGAGAGGTCCTGGACCTTCCTGTCCCTCACCCACTCAAAACTCTCCATGGCTCCCCAATACCAAAAGCAAAAAGCCAAGGGCGCACCTTCTCATCTCATCCACCCCACCTGGTACAGCAGCCCTGCCAAACCCAGGCCGTGCTGGTCCCTCTTCCAGGGTAGCCAAATGCTACCTCCCTCAAGAGATCTTTATCACCAGTTAAACAGTTACCATAACAACTCAGCCATTCCAATCCTAGGTATATACACACACTCATGGGTGATGAACACCCACGTCCACACAAAAACCTGCACACACATGTTCACAGTGGCAATATTTGCAACACTCAAAAAGTGGAAACAGCCAAGTGTCCATCCACAGGTGACAAACACAATGTGGCCCATCCATACACAGGAGTATTACTCAGCAGTGAAAAGGAGGGAGGCGCTGACACTCACCACAACATGGATGGACCTTGAGCACATGATGCTCAGTGAGAAAAGCCAGACAAACAAGGCCACACAATGTGTGATTCCACTTATGGGAAATGTCCAGAACAGGCACATCCACAGACAGGAAGTGGATTCTTGGTTGTCAAGGGCTGGGGGTGGGGGGGAGGACTGCAGATGGGGTTTCTTTTGGGGTAATGGAATGTTCTGGAACTAGACAGAGAAATGCTGCACAACTCTGTTTAGATACTAAAAACCACTGAAGTATCCACTGTAATGGGTGAATTGTGTGGTATGTTCATTCTTTCTCAGTTTTTAAAAGGAGAGAAAGTGTGGCCCCTGGGCAACTGCCGGGCGCCAGCGGCTGACTACACACCTGGCTCAGGGCTCCCGCTTGACCACGCTGCGCAGATGCAGCTCGCTCTCAGCGGCCACAATGGGCTGCCCGTTCTGCAAGTGGTAGCCAATTAGGTGGCTGATGCTCTCAAACAGCATGTCCTTTGTCCGCACCTGTGGGGCCAGAGGCCTCAGCATCAGCACCGCCAGGGTCCTGTTGGGGAGCAAACTCGGCCAGCCCAGAGCTGCTGAATCGGGACTGTGTTTTTACAAGCCGCCCGCATTCTGACGCACTCAAGTCCGAGCACCCTGGGGTCCGAGACTTGTAGAGTCAGAAACAGGTATGGACACAGGCTCCAGAACCACCAGGATTCTGAGGCCGCACTTCCTATAGCAGGTCGAAGTGTCCCCAAAAAGATGTGTCCACATCCTAACCCCAGGAACATATGAATAGGACCTTATTTGGAAAAAGTGTCTTTGCAGATGTGATAGAGTGAAAGGTCTTGAGAGGAGCTCATCCTGGATTACCCAGGTGTTCCCAAATCCAGCGGCTTGTGTTCTTAAAAGAGAAAAACTTGGACACCGAAACACAGAGAGACTGCATGAGAAGACAGGGGCAGTGACTGCAGTGATATGTCAACAAGCCACTAAGAACTGCCAGAGACCACCAGAATCTGGGAGAGACCTGGAACAGATTCTCCTTCATGGCCTCAGAGGGAATCAGCCATACCCACACCTTGATTTCAGACTTCCAGCCTCCAGAACTGGGAGACAATAAATCTCTACTATTTTAAGCCACCCAGTTTGTGGTCATTTTGTAGGGCAGCCCTAGAAAATAAACACACCCCTGGAATCTTGGAGACACAGATCTGGAAATCAGAATCACCAAATCCAAAAACCATCTGTGTCTTTGAATGAGAAAATCTTAGCATCACTGTGTGCTAGATCTGGGTGCAACACAGAGAGTCTCTCGGGCCCCCAGGCTGCCAAGCATTTCACAGGTGATGCTGGGCTCACTGGGCACATATTACCTGGGGGAGCAGGGTAAAAATTCTGGGCCTGGTCACACAACCACCTTCCACCTGAGTGTGCCCCCTTCAAAGACGTGCATAGGCAGCCACGGAGGGCGGTCCTGAGGATTCAGCGAGATGGAGCTAAAGCACTTTACCAAGTGCTTTAAGAAGTCTCTAATGCCCCCTAAGCACCTGGGAAATCACCTGTAGAGCCCAACGCCCTTGGATGCTGGAAAATGCTTCACAAACCCTAGGATGCCTTGTAAATTGGAAGATGCTTTGTAAGCCCTAAAATGCTTTAGGAACTGTAAAAGACCAAATCTCATTGGCTCAAAGCAACTGTAAGATGCATCACCATTTCATGTACCATGGGGGTGGGAGTGGGGAGGTAAGATGCAACTGATGTTTAAAAAAATAATCTGGGCCTCAGAGATGTCGAAATGAGAGGGAAAACTGTGTATCAGAGGCTTGAAGCGTTTGGTAACCTGTAGACCCTAAGGCTCCTTGTAAATTTAAACACGCTTTGTGAACCCCAAAATACATTAGAAACTGAAAATACTGTATTCACCACTCAAAGACATCACTATTTGTAAGACGCATTAGGGATAATAGAATGCGAAAAAAAATGCATCTTACAATTGTTGAAATATGGTACTTTGTAAACCCTGAAAAGCCTTGAAATTGGAAAAGGTTTTGTAACACCCAAAATGCTTTATAGACTGAGAAATACTTTGTAAACCCTAAAATAGTTTGCAATTCTTAAATTGGAAAATTGTAATTCTAAGGTACCTGGTAAACAGGAACAGAATCTGTAAAAGTAAAGGGTTTTGTAATCCGGAAAATACATCATTAAACCTAAAGGACCCTAAGAAGCTGCCCCAGTCCTACCTTAGCCCCGCCCGCGACCCGTTCCCAAGCCAGGCCCCGCCCCCAGCCCGGCCCCGCCCTACCCCACCTTACCACGCCCTCAGGATCCACAAGCAGCAGGTGCTTAGGCTGCCCAGCGTGCATGCCAGTGAGGACGTACTGCCCGGGGTTGGTGACGCTGTCGCGCACGAGGAAGTCCCCGTCTGCTCGGAGCAGTTTCTCCGCCGTCCTACGGCTCATCTGGCCGTGGTACCAGGGCTCCTGCCGCAGCTGCTCCTCCGTGGGGGCTATAGGGGCCCGGCGGGTGGGGGGGCTGGGCCACTGGTCCTCCAAGAGAAGGGGATCTGCCGCTGTGCCCACCGCCACGGAGCACTCATGCAGCTTCAGGGCATCCTCGAAGGGTCCTGCGAGTGAGGACGGGGTGCAGGAGGCAGGGAGCCGGCAGCTGCCTCCTGCTGGGAAGGGAGGGCCTGAGTGGGAGGAAGGACCCACTCTTGGGCAACACTGATTGAGCACCTACTGTGCATCAGGCCTGTACTAAGCCCACCACAATGCACCACCAGCTGTGCGTTGAGTGTGCTGGGTTCTGTGTGTGAGCTGGATGTGCTGAGTGTGCTCTGTGTTCTGTGTGTGCGCTGGGTGTGCTCGGTGTGCACTGGCTGTGCCGTATGTGTGTGTGTGTGTGTGTGTGTGTGTCTGTGTTGAGTGTGCTGTGTGTATTTGCGTGCTGACTGTGGTGTGTGTGCTGAGTGTTCCATGTGTGTTGTGTGCTGTATGTGGTGTGTGCTGTGTGCACTGTGCATGCTGACTATGGTATGTGCACTGTGTGTGCCAGTGGGAGCCTAGCTAAAGCACCTTTCTCCACAGAGCCTGCTGGTCTCCCAAGGGACCAGGCTGCCTCACAGGGAGCTCACACCTCCTTTTCCAGGGGAGGAACACTGGGAGGGGCCAGGGGGGCATACTCCTAGTTCAGTGCCTGGTGCACAGTAGGTGCTCAGTCCACACCTGTGCATGTCATTCTTGCAATGATAAGAAATCCAGTTGTCAGATGGCGGGGAAACAGGGTTTTGCAAATGTCGTGAAGGAAGATATATGTAACTAGCTTGAGCAGTTCTCAGGGACCTCCAGCTAGGGAGGTGTCCTGAAGGAGGAGGACCACCCTGCCTGGTCAACACCCCCACAGTGCTGTGGAAGAGGGTGGAATTGATGTGGGAAGTACGGAGGGCATTTTGGACACAAGCCTCATCCATCAGACTGAGCCCTCTCTCAGGCCCTGAGGGAGGCAGGAACAGGCCCCACCCTCTGCTAGTCAACTCTTATCAAGATGTGGATTAGGCCATCACCATCAGACTGGGGTTACCCAGGAAGCAGAAAGTGCCTACCCCATCAGGCTGGGAATCCCACAGGAAAGGGCTGTGGCCTCCTCCCTCAGACCATGGAGTCACATGAGAAGGAAGCTTAAATTTCCTGTCAGACATGGGAGACCCACAGAGAAGAGGGGCCTGAGCCTCCCCCCATCATACTAGCCACTCCTTCAAGGTAGGAACTAGGTTCCTCTCATCAGACTAGGGACCCTCATAGAGAGGAAGCTGGGTTACCCCCAAGAGACTGGGGAGTCCCTATTAGACTAGGGAGTCCCATAGGAAGCACTTCCCCACCCCACCCACATCAACTTGGAAAATCCTCAGGGGAGGAGGCTGGGCTTCCCTCATCAGATCACAGATGGCATGCGTGCGCCCTCCCCCTCAGGCTGGCTTGCCCCCACATACGCATGTCGAACAGGTCTTTCTTGGGGCTGTCCTCAGGCTGCAGGGGCTCCGGGGCATCCAGACCCTGCGTATTGACATACAGGTGGTCCTCGTAGTCTCGGGGCCCCCGGGCGTCTGCCTGCACGTAGCCATCCCCTGGTGGAGCTGGGGAGGGTGGAAGGGTTGATGGGGTCAGCTGAGAGAATCAGGGGAGGGGCTCGCAGGGAGCACTGAGGCCCTGGGGAGGCAGGGGTTAGGGCAGGACCCCACCTGGGAGCCCCACCCATACCTGTCTCCTCCAGGAAGCCAGCCTCCCCGCGCATTTGAGCAGCACCATCAGGAGTGAAAAACCCATAAATGCCCAACCAGAGGACTGAAAAACCCATAAATGCCCAATCAGGGGCGGTGGGGCAGTGGACATCCGCCCCCAGGGAGGAAGGTGGCCCAGTGGGCCAGGCCTTCCCAGTTTCAAAAGAAGCCAAAAATCTGGATGAAAAGAAACTGATGTCATTGGGGGAGGGGGGTTGTCACTTTGAGGGGTAAAAAGTATAACTAGTGCACTGTGTTGTACACCTGAAACTAATTTAAAAAATAAAATAAAATAAACTGATGTCAAATCTCTTAAGACCTTGGGGAGTAAAAGTGAAATATGCAGAGGAGAAACTGTGAGGGGGACCCAGGCATCCAGTTGGGGAGGGGCTGGGGCACCCCCATGCCCTCAGGGTATCCTACCCTCACCTGAGAGGCCCAGCTCCCACTGCAGGCCACGGGCGTCTCTTCGAGGAGATGCACCCTGAAAAAGAGAGTGAGGGGGTCCTCTTGCAATGTGCAAGCCCCTCTTCTAAGCCAAGCACACCCAATGTCCCCAGCCAGCCCACCTAAATCACTGGGGGAATAAGGCAGATGTGAGGTAAGGCTCACACCCTCTAACCCTTCTCCCTAGCCCTGGCTCTCAAACTGCCAGCTGCCCACTACGGCTGGCTTTGTGCCCACCTCCCACACCTGAAACAGCTTTATAGGCCCTCTCCACTTGGGAAGGTGGTCTGTACCCCCCTGCTGCCCTGCACATGCTATTCTCTCCACCTGCATGCCCTTCCCTGCACTGCTGCCCTGGGCAACTCCTATTCAACTCCTCGTCAGAACCCAGCCCAAACACTGCTTCCTCAGGGAAGGCCTCCTGTCCAAAAAGCCAGTCTCCCTGCTGTACACTCTCGTTACCTTCCTTGGGAGATCTGTCACAGCCCTGATTAAATCGCCATGATTATTTACTCAACATCTGAAGTGTGAGAACAGGGCCTAGCAGATCTGTGCAGTTTGGGAAAGGAGGGTTGTGGGAGTGAAAGACCATTTAGGATTGAGGAAGACCAGCAGAAGGAAAAGCTAGTGACAAGGCCCAAAAAGTCAGCATCTGGGGACGGCCCTGTCAGTGCCTCCCACATGAGTCCCCAGAGGCTGACCTGGCTGAGGGCTCCAAGGGTCCCGAGGGCACAGGGCTGTGTCAGGGTGAGCCTGGAGTCCACAAGCCCACCCAGGGGCGGCTCCTTTCCTGGGACACTGTTGTAGTAATTGTGTTCTGTGTCCTCCTCGTCTCCCCAGGCCAACTCCTCCAGCCCGGTCAGCCTGGGGACAGACAGCAAGTGGGAGCACAGGCAGGGGCCCCAGCACACAGGGCAACAAGAACAGAGGTGCCTGAGGGATGCCAAGAACTTGGAGCTTAAGCTTTTTAGGGTGGGTGGAACATGCCAGACCCCAGCTCCGATCAGCTGAGCCTTCACCTGGGAAATGCTTGCTGGGGGCTGTCTTTCTCATCCCTGGTCTATGACAGGACACTGCACGACTACAGCAGGTCCTCAGGAGAGCTGATCTCCACTCCTGTCCTTTGTACCCACCTCTGAGTCCAGGCTGGCAGCCAGGACCGGGTCGGAGAGAACACACTCGGTGTTTAATTAAAAGGCCATCACTGTCTGGCCCTATTGTCTCACCTGTAGAAATTTATCCCCCAGGTACCCAGCAAGACAAGTGAAACCCAGCATGCATGTGTGAGGGACATGTGAGCAGGTGACAAAGGCAACAAAGGCCACCTCACCCCCAGGGAAGGGCTGTGGGGGGGCAGGGCTGCACTTAATTCACATGTACACTTCCTCTTCAGTGTCTGTGCGTGTTTGTATTTCTAACGATTAATAAATATTTAAGTAGGTGAGAGCAGGGGCCAGCCCAGGAACCAAGAGTGCTCTGCACACTTTCAAGCCATAAAATGTTTAAATTGTTAAGAAAACATCCAAAGGACAATATTTGGCGACATAAGAAAGTTATTGAAATTCAGATTTGCGCATCTATAAAGTTTTGTTGGCTCACGGCCTGTCCACTGCTTTGGTACCCTTGGCAGCTGCTAACACAGGCCTATGCATCTGGCCGCAACACAGAAAATGTAGACTATCTGGCCCTTTGCAGAAGCATGGGCCGCCCCGTGCGACGATGACCATAATGAGAACAATGCTGACTGGCTCCTGAATCTTCATGGCAGCCCAGGAAGTGGGGGCTGTTTTTATCCAGGTTTTATAGATGAGGGAGCACAGGGGACAGAGTGGATCCACTCCCAGGTGGAGGACGAGGGGCTGGTACCTTTCTGGGGGGACAACCACCTTGGGGGTGCTGTGCAGATACTGTTTGAAGCGCAGCTCAAAGGCTTGGCCCACGGTGCTGATGACGCTCTGGGCGAGGCCCTCGCAACACTCCAGGATGTGGCAGGCTAGGGGCCATTTGTGACACAGCGTCAGTGCGGCCTTGGCAGCTAAAACACTACACAGCATCCCCTCTACCCGGCCCACTGGGCCTCACCTCTCTGGTTGATGGGGTCCTTGGCAACATAGGCCACGTAATCCGTCATGTCCTGGGGAGAGAGGGGATGGGTGGGAGAAGCCCCTGGGTCAGGACTCCAGGCGGCCCAACCCCAGCAACGCAGGAGACAGAGAGGGCAACGTTTACCCGCCTAGCCCCTTCTTACCGTGTCACCGCCCGACGCGAAGGAAATGGACTGCATGTGGTGGTTGGCGATGATCTGCCAGAGACATGTGATTACAGGGCAGCCCAGGCCAGGGGCCAGGGACTAGCATTAAGGGCTGCTGGAGCACCCAGAGGAGACGCGAGGACAGGGGTATGCAGACGCACAGACACATGCAGACATGCAGACACACGCAGGCATGCAGACACACAGACACGCAGACACACGCATGCAGACACACACATATACACTCCGTGCCAGGAGCACCTCCACCCCACTGTGACAACTGTGGGGCGCTGTGAGGGCAGTAGCTGTGTTCTCCCTTGGCTCCTGGCTCAGGCTGGGGCCTCAGCTCCTGTCTAGGTGAACAGGTCACACACAGCCCTGCACCCGCCATCTCTCTGGGCTTCACTTGTGTAAGTCCACAGAGCCTACCTTGCATGGGGCTGTGGGGGCTGCGGACAGGGTGGGCAGCACTCACCTGGCGCGTAGCGGGCACTGAGAGGTTTAGGCCGTCAGTGGAGATGCTGATGGAGATGCTCATGCCGGCAAAGCGCAGGTTGCTCTTGCCCAGGATGGAGGCCAGCGCTTTGTTGGGAGCCTGGGAATAGCACAGGGCGCAGAGTGGGGGCGTGGGCACTGGAGTGGGAGGTGCAGGGTGAGAGTGTGGGGGCAGCACTGGAGGCCCCCACAGAATGGCTCGGGCTGGGCAGGGTCCAAGGGTGGCCATGGCTTCCCCACCAGCCCCTCACCTACCTTCTTCTTCCAGGAGCCCCGGACGCCAGGTACAGCCTCATGGAGCCGGTTGATGGCTTCCCTGTGGAGGGAGGAGCTGAGCTTGGAGGGGAGGGGCCTAAAAAGGGCCAAGAGCTCAAAGAAGGGTGGGGGTCAGAAGGTGACGACAGGCTGAGAAAGGGGTTCAGTAGACCCTGAGAAAGGGAGGGCACCAGAGCGGCAGGGACGCTGGGATGCCTGGGGAGAGGAAGGACAGGGAGGCATGGAAGTGGGGGCTCCCAGGCATCTGGCAGATACCCCCTCAGCTCTTTCCCTCCTGCTCTTTCTCAGTGGCCAGCACATCCTTGGGCCACAGCCCCATTCAAAGGCACGGGCATTCGATTCAGTGGGGCCAACACAGCCCCTGAACCTGGTCCCCGACCCCTTCCCGCAGCTCACCTGGTGACCTGGGTGCGAGTATTGAAGTCCAGGGAGCGCATGGAGCACAGGACCTCGATACAGCCCATGTACTGGGGAAGAGAGGCAAGTTAGCAAGCAGCCCAGCGGGGCTGACATAGGCTCCTCACCCACCTGACACACTCAAGGAGTCCAAGCCCTTCCCGCTGTCCGAGTGTCCAGCCGGTAGCCACAGGGTCTTTGCATCCACTGACCCATGCCATTCCTGCCCCCATCTATTTGCAGACTGCTTCCTCCCTATGTCCAGTCTCAGAGCTGTCTTCCCCAACTACATAACTTGCTCCACAGAAGCTAGTCGATCCCTCCAGGCTCAACTGTGACTGTTCATTTAACCGTGCCACTAAGACGTAAGCCCAGGAGGGCCGGGATGGTGGTCATCTTGCTCACTTCTGCATCCCAGAGCACAGCACAGGGCCTGCACACAGATGGGACAGAGACCAAGGCATCAACCATCTCTGACCCTTTACAGGAAAAGCATGTGGACTCCTGCTTTGACCGCCATTTCCATGGAAAGGTAATTCAGAATCTCCAGGAGATGGTGCTGAGGGACAGAGGAAGTGGGAATAGCCAGCAGAGTTCCTGGAGCAAGGACCAGACGATGGCCACAACTATTCTTCTAACGCCTGTGCTGTTCGGAGGGTACCTGGTGTTGGAGGGCCACGTGGCCACATTGGTCATATGCCCCCATTGATGTGAAACGTCCAGGACAGGCACATTCAGAGACAATTGCAGTTGCCAGGGGCTGGGGAGGGCTGAGGGTGACTTCCTATCAGGGTGATGGAATGTTCTGGAACTGGACAGTGGTGATGGTTGCACAACCTTGTGAATATACCAAATGCTACTGAATTGTCCATTTTGGAATGGTTAATGGTTAAATTTGTTATGTGAACTTTACCTCAATTTTTAAGGTAAACCATGGTGATAGAAGCTGGGCTAATGGGAATGCTGCAGGTGGTGCTGACCAGGAGGAGACCGGGCAGACTGCCAGCTCAGTCTGGGTGCCCTGCACCTGAGACTTGCTTACATTTACACTAAAGAAGTATATGTATGTTATCCCTAAATTTGAAAAGTCTGACCAAGAAAAAAAGTACATCCCACAGATACTAATTAACTATAAAGGAAACAAATGGTACCTTTACCAGGGAGAAATGTCACCTTAAAAACGTGTGTTAGTTTCCTGGGACCATTGTAACAAAGCACCACAAACTGGGCAGCTTAAAATAGCAATGTAAGGGCAGCCGGGTGCCGTAGTTGGTTAGAGCGCCTGCTCTGAACAACAAGGTTGCCAGTTCAATTCCCACATGCACCTTCCGCAACTAGATTGAAGACAACTTAAGCTGAGCTGCCGATGGGCAGCCAGATGGCTCAGTTGGTTAGAATGTGTGCCCTTAACAACAAGGTTGCTGGTTCGGTTCCTGCATGGGATAGTGGGCTGTACCCCTTGCAACTAGGTTGAAGGACAATGACTTGACTTAAAGCTGATGGGTCTTGGAAAAACACACTGTTTCCCTTCCCCAATAAAATCTTTTTTAAGAAAAGGAAACAGGAATGTATTCTCTCTCAGTTCTGGAGGCCAGATGTCCGAAATTGAAGTGTTGGGGGGCCCTGCTCCAGCTGAAGGCTCCGGGGCTGGTCCTTCGTCTCCTCCAGCTTCTGGTGGTGACACCAGCCAATCGTTGGCTTGCAGACACATCACTCCAGTCTGCCTCCATCTTCCCCCTGTGTGTCTAGGTCTACATTTCCCTCTTTTTGTCAGAACACCCGTCATTGCATTAGGGCCACCCCACACCAGGATGACCTGATTTTAACTTGATTACATCTACAAAGACCCTATTTCCAAATAAGGCCGTGTTCACAGGTTTAAAGGACATAAATTTGTGGGGGACACTACTCTACCCAGTACCTGGGGAGTGGGACTGTGGTAAAGGCAGCAACCAAATGCAAACACATCAATGTTCAGGACGCTGGTCCCAAAAAGCTAGCTGAGATGTGAATCCCTTCAGATGGTCAAACACATTCTGGAATCCCTGATACTGTTCATATATGTAACGTTGAACTGTGGGTATGCAGGAGGACAGCTAGCTCGGAGACGCATGTGGAAGCATTTAACAGCCAGTGTCATGGCCCTGGCACTGGTTCATCACACCTATATCCAGGGATAGACACACTGCAGAGAGCGTGAGGATAAGAGCCGTAGGTGTGGGTGCACAGGAGAGCCATCCATCCAGCTTTCCCGTTCATAATAAAAAACCAGGATAAATAATGACCCGTTCCTTTATACCACATTCAAAGTCCCTGAGTCTCACATATCGAATTCTGAGGTCAGGCTGGACGCCGCCCCTTTGCAGATACCCTTTCCCAGCGCCCCCGACAGGCCGAGGTCTTGGCATGTTCCGATTCTGTCGTCTGCGAAAGAGCTTTTAATGGGGGTCTGGATAGCAAAATAGGACGTCCCCAACGCCCAGACTCTCCCGCCCAACAGGACGGGGGAAAGAAGGATGCTTAACCTGCGCATGCGTGTCCCCCTACCCACCTGCCGCCCTCTCCCCGCCCCTCCCCACGTGATGCCGTGGGAACCCCGACTCCAGCGCCTTCCCGCTGGGGGCGCCCAGAAGAGCGCGGGCTGAAGATGGGGGCCCAGGGTGGTGGGGAGAGGAGAAAGAATGGAGAGGAGACACCTGGCTCTCAGGGTCCGGAGTGTCCTAGAGAAAGAGGTCTAGGAGGGGAGCCCCAGTCCCCAGGTTTGGGGTCCGTGGAGGATGGGAATCCCAGATGTCCCGGCCGGCGCACTCACCCGCACGATGTAGGAGACCCCAGAACCCAGGACCCTGGCGTCTGGGTGTAGCCAGCCATGCGCCGGCTTGTGGATGAAGCTGCCTTTGCGGATCCACTCGTCGGCGCCGGCGTCTGGGGGCCCGGCAGTCCCCCGCGCGCCCCGCGGACCCCGCGGCCCGGCGGTCCGGCAGCGGCTGAGCGCCGGCAGGGGGCAGGGCGCGGCGCAGCGCGGCTCGCAGGCGTTCAGAACCGCAGCCGCCAGCGCTGGGATGCTAGCCGGGCCGACCGACTCCGGCTGGGGGTCAGTGCCCCCCGCGACCCCCGCATCCCCCGCCGCCCGCGCCGCCGCCTGGCCGCGACCCAGGAAGCCGACCGGGGCCGCGAACTTCCACTGCGGCATGCGCGGCAGCAGCGCGCAGAAGGTGGTGGGCGCCTCGGGCTCCGGGGGCGCAGGAGGCCCGGGGGATGCGCGCCCGCCGGGACCCTGCGTCATGGCCGCGGCCACCCGACTCAGCCTGACCCGGTGCTGCGCCTGGCGCGCAGGAGGCCCTCTCGCTCCCTCCCCGCCTCCGGCCCGGTGATGTCATCTACCCGCCCAGCGCGCAGCCGCAGGGGGCTGCGCCCCTGGGACCCCGGCCCTCGGCGTCCAGGCGCCTGGCGGGGCGGCTGGGGAAACTGAGGCCCGCCGAGGGCACGGCGCTGACTCAGATCGGGGAGCCAGAGAGGAAGCGATGTTTTCAATCAAGGGCCCAGGCGGGACCCCCTACTTCGCCCAACTAGGAAATCACCTCCTTTCCTCCCTTTTTTGACTGTTGAGGAAACGAGGCCTGGAGAGGAACCGAGGCCTGGAGAGGAACCGAGGCGCGGTCAGAGAACAGAACCCAAACCCTAGGGTTAGCTCTCTCCATTCCCACTGTTCCAGCCGGAAGTTATTTGAAAATCAGGCCCTGCTTTATTTCCTAATGGGGAAACTGAGACCCAGGGAGGGAAAGAGGTGTGCCTGAGGGCACACAGCGGAGACTTGGACCTAGGAGTCCCGGGGTGGTTTGGTTGGGTGGGGGGCGGGCTCAGAGGGAAGCTAAAGTGTCTCGTCTGCTGCCTTTTCCTGGGCCTCAGCTTCCCAGGCTGTATGCCAGGGGCGCCAGTTGGAAGAGCACGGGCTCATCCTTCATATCTAGGGAGCCCAGTCTAGCATCAACCCAACTGAGCCCTTGGGCCTGAGCCTCCCAGGCCTACTGGCCCCTTCGGCCCCACCCC